ATACCCCCCCACCCCTCCCCCCTCCCCTGGGTGTGACTTCTGCCCTTTTCCTCCACAGCTGTGATTGTGGGCGGGGTGGTGGGTGCCCTCTTCGCTGCCTTCCTGGTCACCCTGCTCATCTACCGCATGAAGAAGAAGGATGAGGGCAGCTACACGCTGGAGGAGCCCAAGCAGGCGAGCGTCACTTACCAGAAGCCTGACAAGCAGGAGGAGTTCTACGCCTAGTGGAGCCACAGTGCCTCCCCAGAGCCTCAGCGTCGCCCCCTCCCCAGTCCTTGGCCTGTCCCACCAGCCCTGGTCTGGGACCAGGCCTGGGAGGAAGCCTGGCCCCAGTTCATCTCTGCCCACCCTCCCAAGGTCTGCCCAGACTGCCAGCCTCACACAGATCTTCCCCGAGGCACAGGGGGCGCTGCCATCTGCCCTAGACTGTGCCCTTACGAGCTCATCTCTTGTCCTCCACCAGCCTGGGGCTTCAGGACCTCCTGTCAGGTGGATAGGAGGAAAGAAGCTCCTGAACGGCTGGTGGAAGAATGGGTGGGCTTGAGATGGGCTTGAACTCCAACCTGGCCCACAGGGCTGGCTGAGGTCTTCTTTTAAGGGCAGAGAGGGACTCAGGCTGGTTTCCAGGACAAGCATTTACAAGCTCAGCCCTTGAAATCGAGACACTGCCACCTCTTGCTTCTGTGCCAGGGCCCCTCTGTACCCGGGTGAGAATGTGTTCCTTATCCCAGCTTGTTTTATCCTAGCCTGTCCCGAGTTGTGGGGTCACTCTCCTCACCCCGCCCACTGCACATGCACCCAAAGGCTTCACCTCTTTCCCAGTCTGTCCCTGAGGAATTAGCTTCCCAAGAGTGCCTGGCAGCCACTGTGAGGAGGGCGAGGCTGCTTGGACCTCCCTCTTGCAAGTGGACTGTGCACAGACACCATCTCCCACAATGTCACACATATTGTCACATCCAAAGTCAAAAGCACGAAATGACGAAATCATAAGCAATTCTGACCACCCCGTCAGTCTAGACATGTCGCAGATACACATTCTCCCAAAGACGTTTCTTCTCGTGTTTCTCACACATCCCCAAATGCTTACAACAGTGCAAGTCACAAGTCATTGTCACCCAGTGGTGACTCTGTGGCCTGCTTCCCCTCTCTGTCTCATCTCCTTCCACATACACACGAAATCTGTCAGCATACGCATTCTTAGCTTTCAGGCTCACCGGGGAGGGTGGAATCAAGCCAGAACAGTCAGCCCATATTGGGTCCCCTGAATTGCCCTGTCATTCTCAGTCCCTCACCATTGTGCCCCCACCAGCCACATTGCCACCAACCCCGGCGTGTCAAGACACAATCCCACGTGGATGCACAGTCTCACCCCACACAGCCCCGCTCTCACACTGGAGGAAGATAGGTGGGCACTTGCCTTTCCCATAAAGTGTGGTGTGGGAGGACGCTGCCCCTGAGGGCATTGCACAGCCCAGGCCTGCTTCCCTCCTCTCCGTAGCCTGCAAAGAGGTTAGTCTGGGGCCAGTCCCCCACTATCGGGGAGCCTTGCTGAGGAAGGCAGGCTGGTTCCTGGAATTAGGCCTCGGGCTAGGGAGGGGGCGTGGATCTCCCAGGACCAAAGGCCCCAGATGGGGAGGGAGCGTGTGGTCTGGCTCCTGGTCTCCCTGTGTCCCTCTCCTGCTCTGAGCTAGGGGCCAACTCTGCCTCCCAGGACACAAGTCTCCAAAGTGCCTGTGAGGGTGGGCCCTGCCGCCCGGGCCCTCTGCACCCTCTCCCCTTGGCCTCTCCAGGCCCACCTCAGCCCTACCCCGGGGGCCTCCACCGGCCTCCCCTGTAGACACCTTGTCTGCTTATTTGGCCAAACAACCTGGCAGTTCTGGCTGCAGCTGAATGGACCTGCAGCTGGAAGCAACCCATCCAGACGGCGCCCCAGGCCGAGGGCTGAGAGCAGGTGGGGGCAGGGATGTCATGCCCCCCCCCCCACTCCCCCTTCTTTACCCTTGCAAGTGGGCCACTTCCATGGGTTTTAAATGTGGGGGTCACAAATCTCCTTTGGGGGGTGTGCTCAGCGGGGGCTCTTGGAGCTGGGATGTGGTGTGCTCGGTAGTTGGCTGGTGCTCACACCCCCACCCCTCACCTACAAGCCAGGTAAAGCCAGGAACCCAGGTTTTATTTCTGTCCCCTTTTCAAGATGCACTGGCAACAGACTTCTGCTGGGTGAGGGGTGGGAGTGCCGAAGGCGGTGAGAGCGAGGTTCCAGGGGCTGCCACAGCCTGTCCCACCGTCTTCCAGTCTGGGGCTCCATTTTTCCGACCCCAAAACCCCTCTCAGCAGGGCCTGGAGGCTTGTAAGGAGCCCAGCTGGTCCCAGCCTTGGAGGGGGATGGGAATGGGGAGAGACATCCCGGGCCCACAAACTATAGCAGGTGGCCTGGCCTCAGTCACCCCTGAAGCTGAAGGGCTGGGGCACAGGGTGGGAGACACCAAAGTCCCAGCCATTCTCCTCTAATCCCTGGTGGGTTGCTGTCTTGGGGCAGCAGCTCTGGTGAGAAGGCCTGGGCAGGCCAAGGCTGAGAAACCAGAGAGCATGGAGCAGAGAGGACCTGGCTCCCTGGAAGCCCAGGGTGCTGAGACTGATGTAGCAGACCTGAGGCAGGGGCTGGAGCCAGGGCAGGTCCAGCACAGGATGCATGGCTCAGGCTTAGGCTGGCTGGAGTGGGCTTGGCGTGGCCAGCATGGTCCAGCCCAGCCCCAGCAGGCCTGGCTCCTCACATCTGAGGCCTGGCTTTTAACCTAGGGCTGAACCTTCTGGCACCGGCCTCTTCTCTGTGTCCTTAGCATTTGAGAGAGGAGACTGAGGGACTCGTTCATTGAGCCCTGGTCCCGAGACAAATATCCAGGCTTTATTATGAAGTTTAACAGTCCAGCCAGCCCCAATCCACTCTGTCCAGCCTGAGCCGGGCAAGGCAATCCAAGAGTGAGGTCGGTTTAAAGGACGAGCTGGAGCTCGCCTAGGTGCAATGTGGGTGCAGGGCCTGCCCCGACAGATCCCCAGACACCCCAGTGCTCCTGGGGAGGGTGCCTGGTGGGCCCTGGCATTTCCTGGAAGCAGGGCCAATGCCAAAGGAGAGGGAGCTTGTGTGGGTTGAGAACCTCTGGGGCCTAGGCTGCCAGGGAGCACGAGGCAGGCTGGGGAGTTGAAGGTTGGACCACTCCCAGTTGTGATTTCTGGGGCTAGGCTACATCTTCCTAGGGCGCAAGAGGGGGTACCTTCTGAAAAGCCGGGCCGGGCAGGTCTGTGGGTGGTGGCTTGGGGTGCTCAGCACTGAACCCCCCTGGGGTTGGCAAAGTCATCTGTCCTAGCCTCCAGCTGGGGCCCTGGGCACAGGGAGCAAACCCATCTCTGTCTTGGGTCAGGAGTGGCTTCCGCTTCCTCAGCTCTCTGTTTCTTCTGACAGCCACCACCCTGGACTTGCTTCCCCAGGCCTCCTGCCTGTAAATAGAAGCTCATAAACTGTACAGATTTACAGAGATGCGGAGACTGGGCTCCGGAGTTGCTGTCTAAGGGCTGATGGCCCCAGCATCCCCTAGGTGCCCAGCTGGCAGCTCAGTGCACCTGGCCCCAGTGTGGCGAATGCATGTAAATATTTTTTGTAGGCAGTGTGGCTCCAGAGAGCCCCCTGAAGACAATGTCCCTCCTGCGAGTCCTTTCTCCTGTACAGAGCCCTCCGAGAACCTGTCCTGGTGGGTGGGAGCTTGTCCTTCCCTGCCCCAGGCCTTCCCTGCCCTCTCTCTCCCCATAACCTGTTTATTAACCACACCTGTCCTGAGTTCATGGCCAAAACTTTAAGGGAAAGTGGAGGGAAAAGACTGGAAAACGACCAAGGCGCTGCCCGCTGTGGGTGCTCACCTGTCCTAGCCTTGTGAAGGAACTTTTTGGGGTTTTCTGTTTTGTTTTTTGATTTTTTTTTTTTTTTTTAACACTTCCCGTGCTGTGCCCATTTATAAGAGGAAATAAAATTAAGCTGAAATGATGTTGCCAGAGTCTGAGATAAACATAGAGGTCATTTGGGGAAGGGCAGCCCACGGTCCCCCTTGGACTTGAGCCAAGCAAGGAGAATTGACCAGCAACCCCTTGTGGGAACTATTATGGCAAAAACCGCTGTTGGTTGAGAGTGTTCAGGAAACCACGGAGCTGACTGGCGAGGTCGTGGTTGGGCCGGGGCCAGGCTGTGGTGGTGGTGGGGGGCCCTGTGGTCCACCCCCAGGGGAAGAACCGTGGTTTCAGGCCACAAAGAGGGAGTCTTGGGACCACAGGATATTGGAATCGGACTGGCGAGGTGGGATGACTTTGGGATCTGATTGGCCTGTTTTCAGGCCCAGGTGACATTTCCCCGCCCTGACTGGAGAAGCTACCTGGCCTCTCTGAGCCTCAGCGTTCTCACCTGTAAAGTGGGACAACAGCGAACAGCATCCCCTAGATGGAGTGTGGCAGGGATTACATGAGGAGGACACTTAGCACAGTGCCTGGCCCAGTCAGCCGTTTACAGGGTCTTGGATGATGGCTTCGGAACAACAGAACCCAGGACAGGAGGAGTCCCACAGCCTGAAAGCACAGACTGGCTCCTGCGATGGCAAGGACAGGGCTGGGAGGACTTCTGAGCCAGCCCTGGCCCTTTGGTGTAAGTCCCTTCTTCAGGGCTTCAGTGGGGATGTGCCTCCTGGCACACCTGTGTGCATCTTGGCACCAGTGGGTCGCTCCCTGACGGCAAGCCCGTCCTTGTTCTCAGCCAGGCCGCCCCTCAGGTGTTTCCCTTCTCCAGCCCTCATTCTCTGGGGCACACTGCGCTCTGCCCCCTGCCACAGGCCAGCCCCCAGCAAGAGTGCCACAAACGTCCCTCCTCCCGGGAGACCTTTCATGTCCCACCAATATTTCCTCTGGAAATGTGGTGCTCACACAGGGTCCTGATGTCTAGGGTAGTTTGGAGTCTAAGGTTCCCGATTTTGGTCCAAGATCTTTCCCATTCCTCCCTCCCTCCACTAAAGTTTCTTGACTACCCACCCTGTACCAGACCCTGTGCTTGATGATGACCCTGGATGATGAGAGGCCACCAAGACAGACCAGCCCCCGCCCTCAGAGCAGTTACATCTATTGGGGGTGGGTAGGGAGAGGGGAGGCAATAACCAGAGTTTCATGACTGTGTAATGAACTCAGTCACCACCTCCAAGCCCCTCCTGCCAGACAGTTAAGGGACCAAGCATCTGGGGCCTCCCTGTGGGACTTCAGACAACCTGTCCCCTGGGAGTCAGTCTGCACAGCTATAAACGGGTCAGCCCTGCCACCTTGAGGTCCTAACAGAGGACTGGGCCCCAGTTAGAAGCCTGCTCTGATGCGAGGGGTGGGTTTGCCATCATTTGAGGCCTAGCTCTCCACATGACCCCTCATCCAAGAAGCTTTCAGAAGATAATTCAACCCTCCTGAGTTCCTATGGCCTGTAGTTCTCTCTCCTGCAGGAGCCCATCCCCTTGTCATTTGCATTCTAATGCTGTGCATCCATATATTATTCCCAGCTGGGAAAGGGCACGATCTTGGAGTCAAGTGGACCCAGCTGTGTGCACTTAGGCCCAATGTCAACTTCTCTGAGCCTCAGTTTCCTCCCATTCAAATGTGGACAATAAGATTGATATTTGGAGGCTGTTGTGAGGATTAAATGAGATAATATATTGAAGCAACTAGCCCAAAGCTTGGCACATGTAGCAGCCAACAGCTGGACTTAAATCCCTCTCTTTGTAATGTCTGTCTTTTCACAGGCAAACCTTTATTCAAATCCAAGCTCTGCCACCGATGGGCCTCGTGACTGTGGGTGAGTTATTCAAACTCTCAGTACTCCGTTTTCTCACCTGTAAAATGGGAACAATAATAGTACCTGCCTCATATGCACAGTGCCTAGGGCATAGAATAGGTACTATATAAGTTTGGGCTATTATTGTTGTTATTGTATTATCTGTAGGACCCAGCATGCCCCCTACTGAGTGAGTAAATGACACGGAGTCTGAGTAGACATAAAAATATTGGTGTCAAAAATATATATATATATATTGATGTCAGCTCTGGTATGAACTCTGACTTAGGCTTAGGCTTCTTAGAGCCAAGGCTGGTGCCTGGAAACCATGCATTTGGGCTGCAGGGCTGGGCTGGGCGCTGCTAGGAGTCGGAGCACTTCCCGCTGGACTCCTGGGCCCAAGGGATGGGCAACAAACGGGGAAGGAGGGAGAATAGCTGATTGTTTACTGGAGCCCAAGAGGTCACAGCCGCCTGCCCAAGCTGCCCTGAGAACAGAGTGTGCTCAGCTTCGGAGGGCCGCCCACCCGGTCTCTGCGGGCCTGAGGGGGGGCTGGGGCGGACCGAGGGGCCAGGTTGATCACCTCCAGGCCTGGAGCCAGGAAGGAGGCTGGGCTGCAGAAGCGGTGGGGCGAGGCTGGCTGTGCCAGGCACCCCATGGGGGCTCCTCTCACATTAGCATCTCATTTTAGCCTCACGAAGGTCTGGCCTGCTGGCCGTTTTTCGCAGATGAGGAAACCGAGGCTCAAAGAGCAGAAACTTGAGGCCCTAAAGCTATGAAAGGGGGTCAGTGGGATTTGAACCTGGATCTCCACCTGAAGTCAGAGTTCTTTTAGTTCTATCACGCCATTTCCTCCCTCTGCTATCAGCTAGCTGTGTGAGTGCGGGCAGGTTACTCAGCTTCTCTGACTCGCGGTTATATCATCAGTAAAACAGAAGCAATAGGGTATTGAAAGGCTCAGAAGGTATATTAACATGTGACATTGGTGGGCACCTTCCAATGGTCAGCGCCTATCACAGACAGTATCTCGGTTAATTCTTGGAGAGAATGATTGCTCCCATTTTACAGACAAAAGCATTGATCCTATGAGCCAAACCCACACTGTGGGACACTTCTGTAGGACAAAGGCATGCAACTAATCAATGTGGAACTTGATTCGAATCCTGGTTCACACAAATTCTTAAAAAATGCTAATTATGAGACAAGTGGAAATGTGAACGTTGAGTGACTGTTTCTGATAAAGGAGCCGTTGTTGATGCTTTCTTCGCTGTCATAATGGCCCTGCAGTTAATGGCTTTTAAAAAGGGTCCTTATCTTTATAGTAACTGAAATCTTTGCAGACAAAATGGTAGCACATCTGGGACTGGCTTACCGATGATGCAGGAGGAGTGGGGGGAGATCAGGAAACAAGACAGGAGTGGAGTTGGTAATTGCAAAAGCTGAGTAATGGGCACATAAGGGTTTCATTATTTTATCCACTGTAAGTTAAATTTTAAATTCTCCATATTCAAATGTTAAAAAGAAAGGAAATTGATTCCTAGAGAAGCATGGGGAATGCCAGGGTGGCACCTCCAGTAGATGCGGAGCTAGGGTTCCTGACTCTGAGCCCAGGCCCTTGCCCCTCACACTGTCCATTCCATGAACTCTGCGACGTCATATCTTCCCCAGCTTTATGTTTGCTTCCAGATGGCCAGCGTCCTCTCCTTTACAAACACTGACTCGAGAATGGCTCTGACGAAAGAATGCATGTGAAATTGTGATGCATGTGAAGCTGTGTGCATGTGAAGCTGTTGTGCAGTTGTGATGTGCAGTTGTGATGCGTGCCCAGGCACCGGCTCTTGCCCTCCCCAGTGTTTGTCTTCTGCCGGAGAGAGGAACAGAAAGCCCTTCCCTGAGGGCAGCAGGCAGTGTGTCATGGCTCACAGAACACGTTCCCAAGACTCCTCGGTCTTGTTTACTGTTCACGTCTGTCCTCTGACTTTGAAGGACATTGGATTTGGTCATTTCCCTCTGTTTTCAAGCCTCCGGCCAAGTCCAGACCTTTATCATGTCTTCCTGGAAATATGTAAATAGGCTTCCAGCCTCCAGAACCATGAGGAAATAAATCTCTTGTTTAGGCCAGTAAACCCAGGCTACAGTATATGAGAGCCCAAGCAGATTAGTAAACTTAGTCTTTACATAAACCCTGAGAGGTATTAGATACTCATTACTCTCATGTTTACCGATGGGGAAACTGAGGCATAGTTCCCTCTGGGAGCTCCCAGGCAGCGTTAGTCATTGGGGCTGGTAAGGGAAGGAAGAGAGGCCAGAGGAGGAGGTGGGGTGAGGAAGGTGGGGAGTAAGAGAATCTGAGGGAGGAGGGAGGTTTTTTTTGGATTTGGTCATTCCAAAAAAAATGAAATGTTCTTGGGAAAAGTTCTTGGTCCTTCCCACCAAAGGTGCCTCTGTTTTGGCTTGTCCTTTAAGGCCCAGGTCTCTAGCTTTCTCGAGGTTAGCTGTGTGCATATAAGTTAAGAAATATCCTGGGGCTTTCAAACTGTTCTGGATTGAATCCTGGCTCCTCTATTATTGACTAAGGAATCCCAAGCCAGTTACTTAGCTTCTCATGCCTCAGCTTCCTTCGGGGTAAAGGGGGGAGGGGGGTAATCATAGTGCCCTTCTCATGGAGCAGTCCCAAGGGGTAGTTGAGTTCATACACGTGCGTAGCAAATGCTTTGGACCTATTAGCCAGCAGTCACCTTGAACCACTCCACTTCATGGTGCTTGCTTTCTTCTCTGAATCTGATGAGCTAAACTATAAGACACTCAAGTCAACCCCCCAGTAATGATGGCAGTGATGAGCCTGCTGGGCACTTACTCTTGGCCAGGCTCTGTCTGGTCCTTTACATACAGTGTTCCATGTAGATGTCCTAATAACCCCATGAGGCAGATACTATTGATATGCCCACTTTACAGGTGAGAAAACAGCTCTTAGAAACGTGTCTACAATTATATAGCTAGCACGTGGGAGAGTGAGGATTTGAACCCAGGCAACCTGACCTGGAGCCCGTGTGATTCATTCTAGTTTCTTAATCACTCACCCAATACTGATAGACAGCCACTGTGTGTCAGCCACTGGGCCGGGTGCCAAGATACAGAATTAAAAAATGTACAGTCCTGGCCCTTGGGGGACACACAGGCTGAGGACACACAGGCTGATTCCAGGACCCGACAGTCCTGGAATCAGGTGCCTGGGAACAGCCATGACGTGGAAGGAGCGGGGCTGAGCCTCACGTCTTCGTTAGGCCCATCAGAGGCTGTTTTAGTTAAACATAGCCCAACAATGATTGGGCATATGGTCTACATAATAATCTCTCTTCCCAGAGACAAGGCAGACAGTTTCTAGAGTGAAAAACTGACATAAAAAGCACAGCTCTGACATTATTTTTAGGATTCCAAGTAAATCTGAAGCTGTGGAATGAGTACTAACTGGCACTGTGGTTCCTCAGCCACAGTTCCTAGAAGGCCGCCGCGCTCCTGGGAGCTTCTGGGAACCGCCACTCCCTTCCTGCCTGGCCCAGACACTTTCAGCTGACCTCTGTCGCAATGACGGATGCACATAAGTCAGAACTCAAGGATGCCAGGTGACATAGGTGTGTAGAAAGCCTCTGGGAGAAGGAAGGAGGAAGCAACGAGCTTTGGGGCTTCCAGGAAGAGGAAATATTTGATTTGAGTTTTGAAAGCTATGTAGGAGTTCTTTGTGACAAGGGGAGGAGAAATATTCCTTAATTGAGGGGGAAAGAGGGAGGTGTTTGGGGATGGGTGGAAGTCAAGTGAGGCTGATGTGTTGGGGTCCTGGGGGCTGGCGAGGGCGGGAGCGGGTGCCTGGCCTGGGTCAGAGCAGGCTTTGAATGTCATGCTGAATGGTCTGGAGTTTACACTATAAGCAACGAGGGGGTGGAGTGCTGGAGCTTTTTAGAGAGTGATATGGTCAGATTTGTGGTTTGTAAACATGGTCTGGCAGCCCTCAGGGAGGTAGGCGAGAAATTGGTGGCAAGGCAATTGATTTCCCAAACAGACTGTAAGTTCCTTGGGGACAGTGACAGTCAACGTCTTTCCCTCTGGTATTTCCCATAATACCTGGCAGGGGGGACTTGCAGCTGGTGCTCAACAAATGCCTGCTGTGTGAAGTTCACCCGCGCCCCAGGGCATGTGCAGAGGTTTCAGGAGCACCCGAGCTTGCCCCGCTGTCCATGGTACTAGGGAACTGCAAGGTGTGTGTGTGTGTGTGTGTGTGTGTGTGTGTGTGTGTGTGTGTGTGTGTGTGTGTGTGTGTGTGTGTGTGTGTGTAGGG